CGAAGCCATGTGGCCCGGCGTCCGTGAAAATCTGCACGGAGGAAATCCGTCGCGAGAACCTCGATAGACGAGTTTCATCGGGCGCGTCACGCTCTGTCCACGAGGCGACACGACGACGCTCGGGCCTCCATTTTCCATCAGCTGATGCTCTCTCTCGTCGCGGACAGAATTCCTCCGCGACCGTGGCTTCTCGATGGAGACTCCGTTCTCTCGTCTGGCCATCGATTTTCATCGATGGCGCCGTCGCTTGCTCCCACGACGCGTCGTGTCGCATCGCGTCACATCGCATAACCTGAAAAATCAAACGGATGCCGCGAGCGAAAATCGACGTGAAGAAGATTTTTCCAGAATATTCCATATCTTCGAGATGCATCGCGATATCGATCTTTTTCCTTCCGGAACGATCTCTCGTGACGATCCGAAATATCTTCGCCCGCGCGCCTTCCACGCTTTCATTACGTAAGCGCGTCGCCGCGTGTTCTCCGGAGCGTGCTTCGTCGCAGCGAAACGCATTCGCGCCTTCAGACTGCTAGATCGATCAATCGATCATGCATTTTTTTCACTACGTGTAGACGCTCGCGCTATTTCGAAACGTACCGGAATTCGGACAATGTTATCGAAAATTCTGGAAAAATCTCACCCTTACTTCGGAATTCCGACATTTAGTAGAATATATCGTTTAAATATTCTCGTCTTTCTTAGATCAAGAGATCGTCAAAGATCAAATTTAAATTAGTTTATTTCCAGAAATCTTCAGTTTTTACAAACCTCTCTATAATTGTATAATTAATCTACATGTACACGTTTTATCAAAATTTATAACGATATTTAGGAAAATATTTTCAATCGCAACTTTTTGGTACCAAAGCGAGAAAAGGATCGTTAAAGATAGAATTTGAATTCAATTTATTTGAAGAAATGTTTAATATCGACAAATATCTCTGAAATGATATCATCATCATCTATATATATCTATATATATCATCATATCTATATATAAACGTCTAATCAGAATTCATAACGAAATTTGATAGAATATATTTAATCACGCGTCTGTTTTGATTCCTGAAGCGAGGAATTGTTAAATATTAAATTTGAAAGAATAAATCTCCAGAAATGTTTGAAAATTGATATAATATCAATCTACATGTCTCGTTAAAATTTATTAAAAAATTTAGTAAAACACAATCACATTTTTTATTGTTCTGAATAAAATTTAGTCGAGAATGTTCAAAAGTTTATTGAAAAAGTTTGTTAAATTTGTTGTTCATTCTGAAAATTTTATGGGTAAAATTTACCTTGGAAACGTCTAGAAACTAACTATATAGAATTATGCTTTTAATATGTCTATTTATATCTCATTAAAATTTATACTTAGACTACATTCATGCTCTCGTAATATCTAATTAAGTCATCATATATAATTACGTTTCAAATTGTATTCATATCTTAAGATTGTTGGGATAAGGTGATATCTTTAAAATAAATTCCGCGAACACTTCATCTGACTGATCGTTATTCGAAGAATATTACTCAGATTTTCAGAATGCGAGGAATTTCGCCAGGCTGATCTATCGTTGATGACATTAATTTCGACCTTTGTTTGGGTTATACTGTGTGACAAGGTCGCGTGTAACTGTTGTGAAGATAGTCTTATCATATTTTCGTTGAAACGCAAGATCGCGGTGTACATATAATAATATAATATAATATACGCTATCCTCGGAATATATATTTTTATACGAATTAAAAAATTCCAAGACTCTTTTGAACGATTTTATATTTTCTTAAACTTCAAAGATATATTTATTTAAAGACTGAGATATTAGTTTGTGAGAAATTTAACGTATGTCCGTTATTAATTTTAACCTCGATTTAACTTATTGTTGCTTATCTTCTAATTTATTCTTACAATTAATTCTTTATCTTTTTCTACTTTATTAATTTATTCTTTATCTTCTAATTTTAAGAATTGGAAAAAGATAGAGAATAAACTAAATCGAGATTAATCTACATTGGTAAAATGAATGTTAATCATCATCCATCTAATTACTTTCAAATTACTTTTCTATTAATCGTATCTTTACTTGATTTTCCTTGATTTCTAACGCATTATTCCCAGAAATATTATTCACCATATATATAAAAACGATATCCGTTATATTTCGTCCTCAAGCATGCTTACGTGTTCGTAAACACGTGATATGTACCTGCGGTTAAGCACGTTATTTCCCTCTCAAGGTCGCTTTCACAATTTAATAATAACAATAAGTACACAGAGTACAGGCAACATTTCCCTGACTCATTATTCACTCATGCACGCGATTCGAATATTCTAGAGGTTTTTTTTTATATGATTATACATTATTTATTTTGATTTTTTTTTTATAAATTTTTTTATACAATATTTTGAAACACTCAACAAAAATTACATGAGTTGATCATTCCCTGAATTTTGTTCTGAATTTATACAGTTGCATGTGCAGCACATGTGTCGCATATATCATGAAACCTTTTTTTTTTATTTCAGCTAACAAAGTGACCGGAACTGTGAAATGGTTCAATGTCAAGAGTGGCTACGGTTTCATTAATAGGTCAGTAATTATTATTTTGCAACTGCCTCGTGCTTTTCTTACTTTTTTTTTTCATCATCGCAACGCTCGCCCTTTTATGTACTATTAGATAGAAGAGAAGGTACACGTTTATCCGCTTGCGTGTGTATGTATGTTGTGTGGGCGTAAGGGTTACTCATACACTATTAATTTAAACGTCCATTTGGAGCAGCAACCGCACAAGTATTAAAGCAACGTCGAGTATATTAACTGTTGCATCTCCCATGAAAAATTCCCTGCGAACACGTCACAAAATATCTAATTATCTTTTTCGCCGCTTTACTCCCTTATTCTGCGTTTAAAATTATGTTTGCTCACTTTCCGTTTACATCACGCGTCTACCGAATAAATTTTGCGACTTCCGTTGCGCGTTAAATTATTCAAGAAAAACCGACTCTGACGTAAGTGACTGTTTTACGTGAAAATTTCAGTTCTCACATTAACTCTGGCAAAGCTATTTGTCGAACGATAACGAATCGTATTGGATTTTATTGCTCTTTTGAAAAATTCTAAAGTAAATGAAATACCAGTTCATTATTTCATAAATTCTTTGAAAAATCAACAAATATTAGTTCGTAATTTTATGTTTTTTTTTAAATCTTAGATTTTTCAAAAAATGGAGAAAGTAAAATGTTCACAATTTCACACATTCTTAGAATAATCTTGAAGCGAATAAAAATTAATTTGTAATTTTACGCAATCTTTTGAAAAATCTTGAAGCAAAGTGAATAAAACAGATTTAACATTTATTTTAATTTATTTACCAAAACATACTTATGACTGATCTGATTCACGTTTGAAAAATATACGATTTTAGGTATTCGCGAGAGATTAATTGATAACGATTTTAGTACATCGGAGGAAGTCTCTAATATTAGGAAAATCGCCGTCTCCGCTGCAGGTTCGACCTGCAACCTCGACCTGGCACTACGCCGCTCGGAAAATAGACGCTTCATTCGGCGCGTGGACGATCCGTATAGGAACGTGTAGAGCTTCCTGCTATTTCGAGGTCCCTCTATTTATCTGGCGGATCGCCAGGAAATTTTCATGCGCGCATAGTAGTGTTTTACGCGCGAAACTTTCGCGCGCGGACTGCAGATTCGAGCGATTCACGATAAAGACGCGATCGCGCATTTCATAAAAGAAATTCGTATACGCGTGTGACTTCTCGCTCGTCTTCATAGTCTTATGTACGTGGAGATAGTTTCTTATGGATGAGGAAGATAGTTTCACAAGATCAGTCTTAGATTCGAACGTTTACCTGCTCTCGAAAGATCTCGCATGGTCTCGCATGATCTCGCAATGCACTTTCACTGACGCTAACGGTGCCCGATGTGTCGCAAAACATTAGAAACGTTGTTGAAACAGCTGTTTACAGATATAGAATGTTTTCCTTGTTCTCCTGAATTGTCCTAACGACAAGCAAATTGTAGCGTGTCGTGTACAGATTTCTGATTTTTGCAATTTTAAGTATCTGTTTCGAGAAATGTAAAAATAAAATAGATAGTTATTAACAATAATAAATAGTTATGTTTCTTGTTTTATTGTATCGATAGCTTATCTTTTTAAGAGTCGTAACATCTCATGCTAAAAATATACATGTATAAAAGATAGTGAATACAAAAAGTTATTCCGTATATCTCTTCTAAAATGAAAATTTATTTATTTATTTTTTTTGAGAGGATTTTAATTTGATGTTTCATATCATCTCATTCTGATTTATTTAGGAGTGATTTCAGTAAAAATACCATGAATTTATTAAAGTAATAATATGTGATTATTTTAGACTTGCGATGGGTGTATTTAGAGCGATAATCGCTCACTAAACGCTTAGTGAGTTCTTTTATCTGATTAGGATATTCCGTTAAATCCTAAAATATAGAATCAATCAGATGAAAGACTTCACTGAGCGCTCAGTGAGCGATTCTCGTTCTGAATGCAGCCAATGGTTACAGCAATGTTAAAAATCTTAAATTTTAAATACGCGAGAAGAAAAACGACTTGTACACTTTTATAACATACTATTTTATAATGTGATTGTTAACAATAGAGAATAGAACCGAGAATTTGTTTTAAACTTTCTCAGATTATTCGAAAATACTTTCAGGACAAATTCCTCTGTAAATCGGCATTAATAAATGAATTAGATCTCGCTTTTAGGAAATCTGTTCCTAAAATCTTACATTTTGTTGAAATCTAACAGTCTTTACTGAGAATACCGAGTCCATTGTTCATTCGTCGTGTTCGTTCCAAATTCAGCGAATTCGATTATACCACAATGGAAGAGCAACGTTCCGCCTCGATACCCATTGGATCCTGCCCATTAATTATTCAGCATCGATCCATGTTCTGAGGCAAACAGTGAAATTTCGCTACAATAGATTTCTGTTTGTATAGCTGATATTAAAATTGATAAATAGAATTAAAAAAATAGTAGTAAATTAATAAGAAAATAATTTTAGCAGTACATGAAAATATTAATTTTGCTTCTCTTAAAAATTAATTAAATAAATAGCGAAGCCGGTAATTCGGCGATTTAAGCTCTTGAAATTCGATTTGATTTTCATACCTGATTCACCTTTTGTTAACTGCGTGTGGGGAATCGCTGTCTAGCTGTGACAGCTGGCGTTTGCGTACGAGTTGTATTTCTCTCCTGACTGTGCACCGCGAGGTGCAACGACCTCTCTACTCCGTGCTTTGCTCCGCAGCTTCATGGATTCCGATTACGTCTGTACATTCGCAAATTCATGCGTAGGACAGATGTATACATACATATTGTTACGTGCGACGCGTGTATCGTGTACATGCCGCAACTTTGTAGAGAATGTAAATTACGCGAATCTCGTACTGATGCTATTATGCCGAATTTCTGCCTGCACAATAGGCAGGTGGATGCGATTATTATGCTTCCTTATTTAATAAAGATTTGCAGAATAATTTTTACGAAAATATGAATTATAGTTGAACATTCAGAATTGTTTCAAATATAATATTGCAATCAATTGCCATCACAAAATTATTGGAATTATTAACAATTAATTCCAAAACAATTATAGATACGGACTTTCATAAAATATAAATTTTAAATATTAAACTTAACTTAAAAACTTATAAATATATATATCGACTGCTTTTAACATTGTTTGTCCTGTCTGTTTCAGAAACGATACCAAGGAAGATGTGTTCGTCCATCAAGTAAGTATCTCATATTTAATATGTTATACTTAATAATTTTAAAATAATTACTATATATCAATATTATGTGTAATTGTAGTCGGCCATCGTCAAGAACAACCCGAGAAAGGCTGTACGTAGTGTGGGAGATGGCGAGGTCGTTGAATTCGACGTCGTTATTGGTGAGAAGGGTCACGAGGCAGCCAATGTCACTGGCCCAGCGGGTGAAGCAGTAAAAGGTTCACCTTACGCCGCGGACAAGCGTCGCGGATATCGCGGTATCCACTGGGTGTATCCGAGACGTGGCAATGGTCGACCGCAAAATCGTAGATCACGTGAAGGCCAAGAGGGTTACGAACAAGGTATGCTATCTATTATTTGTTTAAACAAGTAGGTATAATTGTTTATTCTTTTAGAATGGATATTGAGAATAATACATACAATTATAGAATAATATTGAGAATAACATTCGACTGTTTGATGATTTAGGAGAAGGAAAGGTCGGCGATGACGCAAACGCCGAGGGAGGCGGCCAGCCACAACAGCAACAGCGTCGCTATAGGCTGCGTCGTCATTATGATGGTTATTACCGTGGAGGACGGCGTTCCGGGCCCAATCCATCACAGCAGCAAGGAGATGCTGGCGAAGGTGGTGAGCAAGCGGAAGGAACCGGCGGTGAAGGTGGAGTTCCGCCGCGCGGTGGTGGTCGTGGACGCGGTGGTCCATCACGACGTTACTTCCGCCGCAATTTCCGCGGAGGAAGAGGTGGTGGTCCGCCACGACGTCCTCGCAGTCAGGATGGCCAGGTAAGGGTTAGTATCTAACCCTAGCCAAGCTAGCGTTTCTTAATATTGTCACATCGACAAGTAGACAAAAAATGTCGAAATGAACGTATTAATTGCGAATTAGCATGTTTCCTGAATCTTACACGCGTTATTTCATCCAAAGTTCCGAGATTGTACATTTTAATACGTTAAATTGTATCATGTTTAGCAATTGTTCTGAAAATGTTTGAAATACTTTTTGGAGACAAGAGTTAGAAGATGCAGTAAAACAAATAAGATCTTGCAACTAAATTATTGTATTATAATTGTAATTAATTTGAAGTAGGAGCGATTTGACAATAATTAATTTAAAATTACGAGGAAAGTGTTTTAGAATATTGTATTTTTGTACTAGAATTTTTATATAATTTTTTCTTCGTTGTTAAAGAGTTTCGAGATATGCGATCTCGGAATTGTAGGTGAAATATTTTGTATATATCTGCAATCGGTTTAAAACAGTTTTGTTCTGCTGTACATTAATTTCTATAACATCAAACACGGTTCACGAAAAAATTCATCTCGATTGCTTGCACCTAAATGGTGTACATTATCCCTTTGTTTCTGACAACAATACTGCATTATTCAATAGTAATCAACGGACTTCGCACATTGTAAATGTTTTTTTTTTTCGATTTTGCATTCTTGCAAATGATAAATCGTGTTTCAAGTCTGAACGAGCTGTTTAAATCTGCACGGTAGTTATTATAATTTAAAGACAGGAAACTGAGTAGTATTAGACTTAATAAAAACATTGTTTTAGATGCATTTCCCTAGAAATTATACTCATATTTTCTCAGCAAGACTATATAATTCCTTTATACTAATGCATTAACTGCGCACGGAGTATGTGTTCTGTGCTGTTTGCGAATCATTTTTTTTTCACACTTTGTAAAACAATAAAGTATTTTATACGAGCATCTTAACGAATTTTCTACAATCGGAAACGCACCTGCACACCGAAATGGTTGGATATATTATAAAATCAGGTGACCGATGACGAGGCTGTTGGCGAGAGTGCACAACTCGGTAATTCGCGGAGAAATCCACAACCACGTTACAGACGACGATTAGTACGACGACCTCGTGCGACGTCGAGCCAACAAACGAACACAGTAGAGAGCTTACCATCTGCGGAGACAAAACGCAAATCCTCCAATTCCTCTCCCATCACGTCTCTTCAAACACAGGTTACCGATATCCCTTCCAAGTCCTGCGATAAATCCCCCAAGGTATTATTGATTCTACCCTTTCTTACTCAAATTAGAAAATAACTCGTGTTATCTTATTTATTCTTTACTGACGACACGTATCAGACAAATTTGCAAATATGCTTTTATGTATATGCAAATATACACTTAATGAAAATTACAGTGAATATCCATACACAAAATCTCAGCATTCCAAAGAAAAACTCATACCTTAGAAAAATTTTGAATTGTTTCAATATATTGTGAATTACTAGTTTCACTTACATTGCATCTATAAATATTTCTTTTTTTATCAGGATTCAACATTTTTTTTCGATTCAACATTTCTTTTCATACATTCAATCGTATCTTGACATGAGTTGTAATCAGAAGTTAATATGATAATATGAGTCTGTCAGAAGTCAAGTTGGTCAATTCTACTTTTTATACTTTTGTAAAAAAAAAATGCGAAAAAAACATGATTAATTTATAATTTTATCAATTCACTTTACTTTTATTTGTTATATGTTTTGAATTGATCAGTTTGACTCCTGAAAAACTCCAACGTGATGAAGTATCGAAGCAGTAGACGTGGGATTTTACAATTTGAAACGAACGAGAGAAAGCTTTTGATTAGGAGACTGCGAATGCGCGTTCCGTCGACAAATACAGAGCGGTAGCGCTTAGCACACACTGTTTGCACGTGTCTCTTTGTACTCTTTTCAGTCGGAGCAGAAGTCTGATGCACCTAAAGATTCGGATGCACCTGCCGCTGCCCCTGCTCCACAGGTAACGTCGCTTTGTTTTTTTTTTTCTTCTTTTTGATCTCGCAGAAGCTCGTCTCGGTTGCCGCAGTTTTCACTCACTTACACTTCCGGCATTAGGATGTGATCGACGAAGCAGATCGTCCGATTTATTTTCTTGCTCATCTTTCCTCCTTTTGTTCTTGTTTTCTAGAAGGAATTGCATTTTCTCCACACATAACTCTTACACAATATCTTAAAAAAGATGTATAGACGATTATAGTAAAGATATTTTAACTACGCGTTGCATTATTGCTATTTTCGTGTCATCGCTCTTGCAACTTTCACGCAACGAATAATGTTCGTCAATGTGTATGTTTGCAGGAGAGCCAGCCGGTGCAGAACACCACCACCGAAAGCACCGCCTAACCGAGACAGAGTAACGCGCTATTACCGCAGGACACTCCTTTTTAACATATAACACCAACACCCGTTATACGCTGCTACATCGACAACAAAACAATTGCAAAAAAATCCAAAAAAATATAACAAAAAAAAAAGAAATCAACAAACACTACTCCACACTCTCTCCACGAAAGCAAATTAAAATTAAGATACGTATGAAAATTGAGAAGCGTACAGTTGTGCTTGACGGATTCTTTTAAAGTTTAACATAGTTTTATCCTTGATATCTAGGCTCGACTTAAGTTATTTCATTGGAAGAACTTGTTGAGAATAGCCGTATGCTTCTCGGGAATTCGGACAGAAGGGTAAAGCAATTACGGAGTACAGAGCGATGAATTCGAGCGCGGCAAGAGATAGATATATCTATATATATTTTTTTGTTTTTGTTTTTGTTTTTGTGTATTTCTTGTTTCGTACATTACTTCTAATTTGTCTCCGGCAAGGCGCATTATAAATCGTTTCATATACGATATTTGAGTTTATTGCTACATTTCCGCGAGCTTTCTTCACTTTCGGCGACTTTTCCATCAAAAGGAGTAGTGAAAACTGATATGTGGATACTGCTGATAAATGAATATTTGCCTGTCTCGGAGTCAGTCGTTTCTTTTTGGCTTGTATTTCAAAATTGATGAGCTGCCGTATTGCTTTCACTCTTTCAGTAAGAAGAATTGGAGTCGCCGTGGTCACAACATTATCCTTGAGTATTTTAAAATTGTACTGTTGATTGCAAGGTGATTGTATTCATTAATAAGCGTAGAGTAAATGCAGGACAATTCTGATAATCGAGGATGACAATGGGGCCGTGATTCTAATTTTCTTATACTTTACAGGCGATCACAAACAGAAACAATTATTGTAATAGCATTTATCTCGGCCATATTTTTACAATTGTTAATACTGGCCCCTGGTGGGTCTCCGGCGGTATATTATTAATTAGTGATTATTGTTTTGACTTTATGCATTATTGGTTACTCAAATTGGGCGCGAAAACTCATGAGGTGTCACGTCTTGAGTTTTCCTGAGCTGTAAGCGGCGCTCGAAGGTACACTGAATTTTGATCGCGTTCTTTTTTTGTCGACGACAACAATGCGTATACTTGTACATCCTATAAATCGTGTTATCGGGCCTAAAGGCACTTCGAGCTAACCACAAGCAGAGAGGGTGACTCCTCACCGTGAAACCTCAAAGATTTTCGCGCGTGAATAAATCGTCCGGTCATTTCTAAAATTAACTTCGGTCGACCATGCACCAGGCAGGTCGTTTTTTTTATATTAAATCACTGACCCGCTTGCATGCGGCAATCGACTCGATTTGACTTTTCGAAACAAGAGCCGGGCGTATCACATATATCGGCTCGACTGACAATACGAGTATCGTAGACTGTCACGAGAGTACGAAATAGAGCGCGAACAAGAGTGAGAGAGAGTGAAAGAGAGAGAGAAAACAAACTTTATATAATTTTGCATGAAACTAATTTTTAAAATTTTAGTTTGTAGTATCGTCGACGGATAAATAAAATAAATATATATGTCTACTTTCTTTAAAAAAATGAAATCTTTAAAAAATGAAAAGAAAAATTGAAATATTTATTATTTGGCGAAATTTCATTGATTTCTGATTTCCGTCTATATCCAGGCGACACAAATATATCTGCAAGATCATCACATCACGAAGAGCCCATTAGAAAAAGACATCCTAATTTTTCACACGTCTTCGTGTCGTTTGGGTGTAGCGTTACCCATGTTTATTGTTTCCGTCGCGTCGACCAGTGATGCACAAAATGTATTCGCGAAGGAAGAACGATTTCAGATAACGGCGCGCGTCGCGAGATACATATAGCATATTTTCGCGAGAGACGTAACGGGCCATGGATTTTTAATGCACGCTATTCGCGCGTCGACGGATATGCATATTAAAAATCGTTATTCACGAATACAATTTGTCCCAACTTGCCACCACTTGACACGCGGTAGTCGTACCCTCTGTCTGGGTACCGGCAGGAGGATTCCACCTAAGATATTACCGTATATATCATCACCGATGATCATCTTTAATTGTGTCTCACTGTTCTACCACGTTTGTGAAGTAGCGTTTACCACGCCACGAAACCCGTGTGTGTCGAGTCTTCGTAAAATTGCATAATACCTTTTGTTTGTGTAAACGAAAATCTGAGAGATCGAGAAGTTCTGGTACCTCCGAGGTACGAAACATCCGATTGGTCAGGATTAGCGGTTTAAGGGAATAAAAAAAAAAGAGTAAAAAAGAGAGAGGGAGAGAAAGAGAGAGTGTGTGCGTGAGTGTGGTGCCAAGTGGAGAGAGACAAACACGCGGTTACGTTACGGCGGACGCGTTTATATATATATATTTGCAGTACTTTTACAACTGAATAGCGAAATGAAATAAGCGAGGCGATCGATCGCTGATTCGATTCCGAAGTCGCCGTAATTTTTCATTTTTTTTTTTTCACATTCGACTCCGTAAGGGAGAACCCAGCGAACACGAGATGCTGCTATCGATCGACGCATCACCCGCGTTTTCCGCTTTTCTATTACACCGCAATCTGCGTTCGTTGGGACAAAAGCTCGTGGCGACTCTTCGGGCCGCGTTGTTTAACGTAATCACCCTCCGTTGTCTAACGTAACCGCGCGTTCTCACGAAAAAACACGGTAGAAAGAAATATAAAAAAAAAAGAAAAAAGAAATCCAAGAGAGACGGCCTCTCGAGACGGCGGAAGAGAGAGGCGCAGAACAAGCAAAAATTTCAAGCGGCGCGCCGAACGGGCGTGCGATTGTAACTGCAAAAAAAGAACAATGCATGTGTTAACAGTGAATATCAGAGTTAAAACGAAAACCAAAGCCGTGAGGACAAAAAAACCGAAAGAAAACGAATCACGAGCGAATCCAGCAGCTAAACTTCACACGCGGTTAAATAAATAAAAAAAAAAAGAGAAAAAAAAAGAGAAAGCGACAAAAAGAAAGGGTGTAGTAACCGAGAAAATCAGTTTGTATACTTCGTCGTTCGGATTTATCGCCGTCGTCGAGACATCTCGACGCGGCCGTCAGTCAATCGCGACCGCGTACGTGTTCGTTGCGAAAAAGTTGGAGGACGGCTTACGATCGGGCGACGCGGAAAGTTTACCGGAAGGAGAGTTTGATCCGCGGCACGCACCGCGCTCCATTAGCCGCCGATAATATTCATAGTGGTGAAACTCACAGGGGAAATTCCGTACGTCCGAGGAAAGCGCGGAAAGGATCTCCCGCAAACTGATGCTTCGTATGTTAAATACTTTTCCGGGAAGCGAGTTTGCATCCCGTCGAAATTCTTTAACATACGAAGCGTCCAATCGCGCTTCGATCCGCGATCGTTTTCGAAGATCTCGCGTTCTCCGTGAACGCGCCCGCGGATTAACGGCCGGTGCCGCGTTTGCAAGATTTCGCGATTTTCAATCAACAGTGTTTTTCGGTTCTCGTCATCGAAGGGAGATGGAGATTCGAGTCAACGCCGGTTAAAAGGGCGGACAAAAAATTCGTCCTTTCGCCGGAAAGCGGAGATCCTTCGGGAAGGAAGAAGGAGCCGTGCGCGATCCTTCTCGCTCGAAATTTCCGTCGTTCATTCGCGTCGCGTTCACCGGGCAAAAACAATTGCGATAAAAAGGATATCACGTCGCGACAGTCAATTAGGTCTGATTCAAGTTTTATGCGACAAGAACGATACTCGAATTATATATATATATATATATATATATATATATATATATATAGAGCGAGAAGAAAGAAAGCAACGTGGACGAGAAGTGAAAGAGAAGATCAGGAAAAAAAAGCGAAATCCCGATCGAAACGTTCAACTCTTTCGAGAGATAAAGAAAAAAAATAAATAAGAGAAAATCTATCAAAAGATCTCGACGGACGCCGGGCACGACGCCGTCGTCGACGTCGCCGTCGTCGTTGAAGCGTATCCTGAGATACAGTCGTCCGTCGACTGACTTTCCCCCCTCCCCCAATGAATTTTGTACCGAAACGTGAAACTCTAAATGCTAATTTCATACACGGAATTTAATTTTTTCACGAGAAACATGTGCATTATAAAAAATAAATCTACCAAAAAAATCGCAAAAGTCACAAATCGAACATGCGTTTTGTTTCATTCGATTTCCCGATTTCCCTCGTTTATCCTGATGATTTCCTCATCACTTCGATTATCATCATGTATACAACACGCTCGGAGAGCCCAAAAAATATATATTAACAAAGAATCCATCATTTTATTGAGAAAGTAATTATGATTGGGTTGAGTGGAACGAGAATGCCGGTAAAAATTAAATTTTAAATGAAATTAACAGAGGAAAGTGTGCGTATATACACTGATAAGTTTTATTCAATTATTCGTATCGATTTATCCTCCATGAAATTCCGAGATTTACAGGGTATTTGAAATAAAATGGCACGATCCACGACCATGAAATTATAGACGGAATATTGCGAATTTGCCATTAAATATGAATCAGATATTTAATTTTTAATTCCGCCACGAAGGAATTTCTGAGGTAATGCAATTGACGAGATCCCGGCGGAATTGTACGTACGCATTTCACATATGTGTAATTTCACGCGGTGATGTTGATCGGAGCTCGGTAGAAGTTATAGGTATATAATGCATTCCCGTCATGGAGAATTTCCAATAATACTAGTATTACGGCGGCACTTAATCACCTTTCGCAAGATATATAAATTAATTTTCCGTCCCAGCGTTAATCTCGTATAGCAACGATCAGCAGTAATCATACCCAACACCATAATTGACACAACGGATTCTACTATGATATTACAGATTCATCATTATGAATTATAAATTGTCCGATCCGCCCATCGAGTGAAATTCCTACATACTTAACGATTATGTTAAATTCTACGTATATCTGGAGTACAAAATGTCTTATCTACGTGAATCTCTACGCATAGAGGAGGAATATTTTCTTTTTTTATTTTCGTACTGCTTTTAAACTTTAAAGCAAAAATGCTTTAAAGCATAAAATATCAATAATATGTACATAAGATCTGTTCGCATTATTTGAAAGCCCCCCGCAAAATTTGTGTTCTTAAGAGGAAATAAAGATATATTCGTTGAAAGAGAGTTAAAGAGAGAGAAAGCGAAGGAATGAATATATTTAGATATGTTTATTATTATATAAAAAAAAGAAAAAGAATTAAATATTAGCAATTTCTTATATTTTGAAAAAATATTTTTATATATATATTTATATGATTATAAAAATAGTTTGAGAATTCGTTGATATACTTATCATATTTTCGACATATTGCGCAATGCACTTTCGAAAATAACGGCTGAACGTTGTAGAACATCCAGCGATTGTCACGAATAGAAGAAAAAGATTAATGAATTATGTCGGATTGGAGTCTTTTAATCCGGATATATATATATAATATATGCCATACGTGAGCACGCAATCATTACATATATTTGGTAGTCTGTATACGCATTTTTACCGTGATGATAAATATATATAAATATACGGTCTATCGAGGGAACGTCGTTCGCATATTCGAAAGAAAAATTATTTTACTAAATAATTTTACATTTTATTTAAAAAAAAAAAACAACCGGAGAGAATGTAAAAGGAATTTAAAAATATATGCTTTCAATATTATAATGTAACAAAAAGCTGTAGATGGAAAATGAAAGACGTTGTATTTTATTATTTCGCTGTAAATAATTTTTGACATTCTCCAGGGGGGGGGGGGGTCTGTTGTAAATACTTCTTCCAAGTAGTAAACGTAATTTGTTAAACAAGACGACAAGATTTCTTAACGTTAAGATTGGCAGAATTCCATGCTTTCCGCGGTAGAACACGAGAGAAAGATGTAGAAGCAAAAAGCCATACGACTTATCAGAAACTCCCCGATCGTATGTTTTCACAGATAGAGATACGATACACCGTGCAAACGTGCACTACACACATATACATCTATAAGATATACACACAGCGAAGGAGCAATCAGGAGAGATCTCGGATGAACCAATTGATTGCCTGTGCTGTGTGCAAGCGAAATTAAAAAAGTTGGCTTCCAGGTCGACGCCTCGGTAAACGCCTCGGCCGCTAATTTCCCCGATACCGAACATCTACTCGCGCAGCCGTTTCACGCTCGCAATATCAATTATCGCTATCTGTTCCCGTCCGTGTGCCGATAATCGTCGCGAATACAAGAGGCCGCAGTGCGGTGCGTATATGTATGGGCGGGTAATAACGCGTGCAAATTGTACGACGTTATGCGAGCGACGTGACATCGTTCGCGCAGCAAGTAGAATCCTTCGATTCTATATCCTCCTCTTCTGCGGGAAGTTTTTATTACACTGCTTGGCGATTTTATAAAGGCAATAAAGATAACATTCTTCTCTCACGCGAAGTTGTAGTAATCTGAAAAAGAATTGCCACAGAAAAAAATTTCAAGTACATAATGATTTTGAATAATCTAAATCGGAAGAATTATTCAATTATTTAATTGAAATATTATTTATTAATCACTTTTACAAAGATAAAAAGAGTGTATTGCTCAAATTTTATTGATTAACACTTTCAGCACATTATCTTATCTCAGTTTCTTTAAGGCAATCAATGCTAAAGTTAGAGTAAAGACATGTAAATTTATTACATTCTTGCGCTCTAATCGGTATTCACTCTGAAATTTCCTTAATTGATATTCGTGTCTTCGGTGTATTTCAAATTAATGCATCTTTATTACGTAATAAAATAATTTTTTTTTCATTTTAAAGATTAAAATTCGAGGAATAAGATTATACTACTTAAAATTATGTAAATATTAACAAATAAATAAATTCCCAAGATAAGAATTCTAAATATATCAAGAAATGATGAGAATGGACTAATGAAAATTAATGTTGTAAGTTTTGCACGATCAAATAATTATATAAAAAACATTTTATCAAAATTTAAAATATATTAAAAATATGATATAAAAATAATATATATATTTTGGCTAACCTTTTAGCAATCTTCAATAAAAGCTAATATTAAAAAGATTAAATATAAATAACTAAAATATAAATAATAACAATGTACTTAAGTTCTATAACGTGCATTTAGCAATAGTCCTATGAAATGATCAGTCATATATCTTTATTAGATCTTAAACCAATTGAAAGACTGGATGGTATAGAATGTAATCTTTAAAATGATTAAAGAATTAAAAACACAAAAACAATTATCGGGAGAGAGAGAGAGAGAGAGAGAGAGAGAGAGAGAGAGAGAGAGATTCAAATGAAACTCTAATCTCTATACTCTTAATTGATATTCTTTTGTCATTTTATATGTATCTTAGGCAATAGTTGTTTTACTTCATAAAAATTTCAATATAACCAATTAGAAAACATAGAAGAACATTCAATATAAACAATTTTTTATTATGTAATTGAAAAAAATATTCAAATTCACTGGATTCGAGAAATATCGATTAGAACAAAAATGTTTCCAAATAATAAATTTTTGTCTGAAATAAGATATAGAATATTGGGCAGGTATGTCTCAACGTGTCGTAGTGTGCGCCAAATTGGCTCGACCAACGTCCATGACCTATGATCAAACGCGTTCTTCTTTTATTCGAAGGACATCTTCGAGAACTGTCGCCACGGTCACCCGCATGGTTACAGGATCCGTTCAAGTCAGCTTCCTTCTCCATCTGTGCGTTCTTCAAAGCGCCACCGGTCGCCAAGTATTCCCGTAGTCAGCCAGACAGGAGCTTAAAGCAATTTCGGCCAGGTGTGTGTCCCGATGCGGTGGACAGGCGACTTGGTGGAATCTCTTCAGGGCGTCGCAGAATGTCTCGATCGCCTCATCGACCCTTTCGTTTTCCATACTGGCCAATCCACGTTCGTACAGAGCCTCGCACTCCCGTAGACACGCGAGCCGATCCTCCAAGCAGATTTTCTTTTGACAGTCTGGGCATTTTATCGGCTTACCCTGCCGGGATCGCAAGTGCAGTCCGCCGCATCCTACCGTAGGACACCTCGAGAAGAAAAACGTCAAAAGAATATTTTACAAAGTCTCTCTTCAAGTCACGAAAATTTTATTACGCTATTATCGATAAAAATCAAATTGAAATCAAATCGAATTATAATTTATGTCAGAAAATTTGACGTATCTTTCGTAATTAATCTCCAAAATTATTCCTTTATCAGAAGTGATATCAATTTTAAGACGTTAAAAAATATAATACAAATTATAATAGTCTTAGTATCTTTGATTCATAGAAGAATTTTACAATCGTAATTCTTTTGATAACAATTTGAAGAATCGATTTTTTTCTTCTCAGTAAAAGAAAATTTATCTTTTATCGCAAGTCTTCCATTTCTTGTATCATTTATGTATGTTCATAAATAATCACAAAAAATTAGAATGAAGCAAACTCCGTTTGAGATTATTTGCAAAACGTGATCTTGTTCTCTATTCGATTCGTTAATACTTCGTACAAATGTAATCAAGAATATAGCATCGTAAAAAATGTGAAACGTAAAAATGCTTTAGTCGGTATTATATAAATCCCAAAGAAGCAACCGCTGAAACATCAACGAAGACACGCAACTTAAAAGAATTACATTTGCGTTAGCGTGATGATGAAATAATTATTCGTAATTGAACTTTTGTCCGACGTCCTCAAAGAGGAACTCCGTGGTTTATTCCTCTAAGAGAAATACACATATACCGTCAGCGAAGCGGCACCTCGTTTTGTTGATGTAAGAGACGCAACGTAACGAGTAGTGGTGCCACTACCTAGAAAATTACCGCGAAACTGATAAAAGCACCTGGCCGTGTCGTTGGAGTTGGTATAAGAATCTTATGACGACGAACAGAAGTACCTTTGACGACAGGAGCATCCTTACGGTACAAACGCTTCTTTCCTTTGAGGAAACTCACCTCATCAGGAGTTGCGGTTTTTAACGATCTCGAAAAACATCTCTAACTCTCTTTCACTCTCCATCACTCTCCCTCTCTTCTTTCCCTCTCACTTATTCACTCTCTCCTTCTCTCTTTCGCTCTTGTTATTCTTTCCGTCTGATATTCTTGTGCTTTTACTCGTTACTGTGATTTACCACCATTATATTTCTCGATTTTTTTCGGGACATTTAAGTCGGACATATTTAGTTAAACGAAAGAAACTGTTAATTGTATTAAAACGGCAACAAAGCGTGTACATCTCTGGACATCGTTAATGAGTAACTCTTTGCATTACTTCCAATAGATATTACTTTGTTAATTTCTTGACATGGAGACGTTCACCGAAGAGAGACTTAAGTGAAGCGCCGATACAATCGTTCGTTTAATTAAATTAAATTACTTTGTTAATGAGCTTGATCTCAGAGAATTTAAATGGACTTACCTCAACTTGACAGAATCGTTCGTCAGATTCTCAAAGCACGGCCAATCCTCCTGGCAGGCCTTGCACGTACACTGGAACCAATATCTTCCTGTCAGTGTCCTTTGACGCTCGGCGAGAGTCCTCTTCGTGAATATCGGTCCATAGTTTTCGGCAATAACGTCGCCGGGCCCCAAACCGCGTATAGCCCTTATTACGATATGTCGCCCAATGAAGTATCTGCGATTCGGCAAAAGGAGAATTCCAATCTTACCTCGTTAAGTAACGCCATAATGAAAATACATGCACCACCTTAAGTAAAGTACAAATCGATATATGATAACTATGTCAATTAATTATAGCTAAAAAATTTGCTATATATATAGATAGTAACACACTTTAAAGAAATTAAAAATATCAAATTCAAATAGTAAATTAAATTGGAGGGCGTTAAATATTTACAAGAAAATTATAAAAAGTATATACATATACTTCTTGACACTAAATATGTTATTTTGTTTAACATGTACTCACATTGTTGATTATTTAATGATTAAATTGAAACCAATTCCTTAAGTAATATTCTGCTATACTTGAAAGTGTTTTAAAATATTTTAATTTATAATATATGATTAACAAAATAACTACATCCATTTCTGTAATTGAATTGCTTAGTTTCAAAGTAAATGACATTCATATTCTATTATAACATATTTAATACATGACAATCTTAATTTGAATAAAATTAATACCTTTCTTGAGATTTACTCCATTATTTTAATTAAATTAACGGCATGTTAAATAGAAGCAGTAGCGACTAGAAATGATTAAAAATAACTCAAATGGGACATAATTGATGAAATTATAAATTTAATACCTGTAACTGTACCTTTTATACATTTTGCATTTTTCAGTATAAATATACAGCGTAGATTCCTTTTATTGTTTAGATATTTTTATTTTAATCAAGTGTACAATAAATGCGTTCAAATATTGTGTTAAAAATTGTTAACAGCTCTCTATCCGACATAGAAATTATTACCAAGTATCCCAGTTAATAAATCAAAAAATGAAAAGGGGACGACGCGCAATCACTTTGCAATGAAATAATAATCGTAATCATCACAATAGCACCGACGACGTTAATAACGTGAACAGTAACAATTTCCGCTTGTGCCGAGTAGTGCAGACGAGTTTGTGACATTACGGAATAATGAGCGCGCTGGTGTAATTTCGCGTATAATGGCCGCGACCCACGAAGTCATCACAGACGCGCTTTAGTGCTGCCCGAAAATTCACGTACTTAATTAACGTTAATAGATTCGCAATAGAAGCATCAATATATTCCCCAGGAGGAGAAATTAATTCTCCAATTGCATTGTTCGCCTTTTAAATGATTCGATACATTAAATAAATTATTTCGAAACGAACAGCTGTCTCTTGAGCATATCGTTAAAATTATTTGTTTAAACAAATCGAATTCACAAGGGATTATTTTGTTTGTCCATCAATTTAGTGAGTTTCCCGTAAGCTCGCGAATTCATGTAAATTCGATGAAAGTGAGAAAATTTTGGCGAAAAGACAAAGGAGTTTTCCGGCGACAAAATGCGGGAAGTTGTTGAAGGGTCTCGGAGAAACTTCGTTTAATAGACTGCGGGCGGTCGCGGGTCGATTAATAATTCGCACGTGATGACACAGCGATTGTGTACCGTCTGGTTATACTAATTAGTTCTCACGTCGATCTACGTCGCGGTGTGCTCTTTAACACGGCTACGTTATTAATATGCAAATCAGGTCGAGCCATGTGCACTTCGCTGGGACGCGAAGTTTGACAAGACGACGTGCGTATAGTGTGTAAAAGTTGGACGTGTCTTAAGACAAAGTGTTTTTCTCGGAAAACTGTTAAATTCATTATGTATGTATTCTATTTGAGTTATTTTTATCATTTCTATAGTTGCCACTACTCCCACTCAATACGCTGTTAATTTAACTAAAAAAAACAATAGAGTTAAACAATTTGACTCAAGAAAATGTATTAAGTTTGACTCACAAATTTAGTTTATTATTTACTAGATCAAAAAATATTAGTCAATTATTTTATTTATCGAATTCTGTTTATTATTTACTAGTGCACGGAAAAAAGAAAGTAATTGCTGTTACTGCATGTGATAATTAATGGTAGGTGTAAAATATAGACAGGCAAAATATAGATATAATAGCTAATATCTTAGCTGTGATACCTTGTGATATATTGTAGCAATAACAACAAACTATTTCGTAATTTATAAATTTATAATTATGGTAGCAAATATATTTTAACAAACCAAGATTAGCTGCGGCAGCGACATTTTTTTTCCATGTACGTTAACCTGGACGTAGTTTACTTTGAAACTAACCACAGAAATGGATTGATTTACATTTTGAAATGTTATCTAACTCAAAGGATTGAGTTACTATTACTCTTTTGATATCTGTAATAAACAGTGAAGATATTATCTTTGGTCATAAGAGAGCAACGACGAACCAATCGCTCGTGACGATTATATTAAGTCTCACCTCTCTTCAGCAAAAAGCTTGATTTTTTTTTCCACAAAGAGACGTACATCCCGAAGAACGTATCTTCCTCTTGCTTACCTCGTCACTGCGGGATAGCAGTCGTGATTGAAACGGGCGACCGAGGGATAAATCGCCACGCCGAGGTAGACCGGACGACTGCCATGAAATCGATGCTCCGCACTCATTCGCGTCTCGAAAAACTCGTGGGCGTTAAATTGGAGCAGCTGCAGGTTCCTCAGCAGCAGGGCGGCCACGGTGACCTCCTCGACGCCCGGGACTTCTGCGAACTCGCCAAAGTTTCCGATATTAGTATAGCTCCCCCGCGTTCTGTGCATTCCTCTATTCTCTCTTTTCCCCCCCTATTCTTGACTTCCCGGCAAAAACTTTTCGCGACTCTTTCCACTGAACGCTGTTAAAATTACGGTTTTACGGCGCGAATGGCCGAACGCCGCGCTACGCCGTGCGGAGAATCTGCTGAATCGAAAATTCACCCTTCGTGCGAGCAAGCACATTTTTTCACCTCCTCTTTCTCTCGACTACTCACGATTCGGTAAATTATTCCGAAAGTTAAATACAGCCCCCACGAGAAGAAATCGGCGTATGTTATGGGTGTAAAGTGACCGCTGATAAGTACCATCGTCCGGCGTGGGGTTTGCGAAAAAACCGACTCTCTGCAGACATTTGAGCAGAAAGGCTGCCATCAGCGATCTCTGTAGAAAGTCTCTGCTCGTCCGTTTGTCCGCGTGCGTCACCAAGTTATACGGAGCCACGTCGACGCTCTCGTCATCGCCTTCGCGGGACTCTTTTGTGCCCTTCTCCTCCATCATCTCCTCCATCTTCTTAATTTCCTCTCGTCTAGATTCCTTGAGTTTTCTCCGTCTGATTCTTCTTTTGGCTGACTTACTGCTCACCGGCGATTTCATGTCGTGTGTATCCGGCGTCGCCGTCGGCGTCGTAGTAGAGGTAGCCGCCAAAAGCATCGCGACCCTTTCCACGTCGTTCTTCTTTAATTCCTCGTAGATCTTCAAACACTTTCGTGGACCCTCCTGTGTTACCATCCGAAGAGCGACCATGCTGAGCACGCTCATGCCAGAGCCTAAGGGAAGGAATTTAAGAGCGGCTTGTAATTACCTTATAAGGGTTTTGGCCCGTAGGATACTCGAGATAATACCAAGCGTGTGTAAAGTAGCTTTTACTTAGTGAAAAAAATATCTCGACAACTATGATGACGTTTATTATTTAACTAAATACGAAGACGCACCAATTACTGTCAAAGTTAAATGTTAGGCTAATATGTATATGTAAATTTTCTCAGAAATGACTACGCGCAGATTAGTTTCGGTCTTTTAAAACAATCAATTTGAAATATTAATAATCCCTCCAAATTTAATTACATTGATTTTATGCTAACAGTTATCTTAAAACTATCTATACCTTAAAGATATCTATAACGAACTTATTGCGAAAAATATTATCTCATAAATTTATCATTTCTGAGATAAATTTTTTTATTAAAAAATACATGTATTAATTTAATTTTAACCATAATTGACACTTCTTCGTATTGAGTTGATTTACTCACGGTAAACGGTTCTATTTCTAATCTTAATATCGTTTATTATTTTTTTAATTGTCACAATGGTATTTTTTTTAATTGCCATATCAAATGCATTCGATAAATATTATGATACTCTTAAAAAATTTATATAAGGTTTTATTAAGAAAAAACATTGATTGAGACATCAATAATAACTTTTAGTTATACTGGATTTAAAAAATATTTTAGCAAATCTCTGATAGACTCTATTTTTCAGAACATTTTTATGAAAAATATGATGGTCACTTAATCTTAAAATCTCAAACATCGCGTGAACTTATAACAGAAGTTTAAATCCGTTTAAGTTTAGACAGGCAGGGAAACTAAAATTACTTCTGTTATTGCAATGTCCGCTGAAACTACATTCGTTATCGAATGTTGTATACATTATACCGACATTGTCCATTCATGCTCTTACCTATCAGCAACGCCAGGACTTTGCACTCGTATTTATGATATGTCGCCATCGCGACTTCTCTGCATTTCTTTCCACAAAAGGCAACGCAGCTGCAGTTCGGGCATCCAACCGGCGCTCTTAGCCTAAAAATTGTCCAAATATTCGTAAATCGATCGAAAGAAGAACAAGGTTAGTCCAGAAAAAGCGAATTATGTAAATTGATGAATAAAGGCCGAAAAGAAACTATCGTCGTGCGAGATTCAATCCAGGTAAATTTAGATCGATCAACAATCTCGAGTAATAGATTTCAAATGTAACGAACGATTTCACGAATTCAAATCACTTTGTAAAACGTCGTGAATCCGGAAGTTAATTTATAAAATGAAGAGAATTCATACAAACAGATTTATAAAAAACAGTTAATTACACGGAGAAAAATGGATAGTCTTTTACAAATAAGTCTATTAAATATTCTGGCTATTTTTGCTGAATTTATGACAGACTTTACTTGCCTGAAAGTAAAAAATACTGGAGATGTAAAGTAAAAAGTACATTACAATTAATCCATTCAAGTGATTATCTTATAGTAAAGTAAATCATATTATTCTCAAGAGTACAAGCACGAACAACTCTTAAAACTTTATATACTTATATTTTTTACCGCGTAATAAAATAAATTTTGTCAACGCTAAGCAAGAAATACTCATCGATAAAATAAATTTTACTGAGTGTGCAAGGTAATTTATAGATTAAGAAATAGTACCAAATTATAGTAGCATATAAAATTTACTTTATGAAACAAATAAAAAGTATCTTACAATATAATTACATAACGATCGCTCATATTTACTAGAAAAGTAAAGTAAATTTTATAGAAGTAGGTGCTTGTCTGCACACTGAAAAAACTTATTAAATCTTAATATATATTTTTTTGAATAGTACTAAGTAAACATTTATTTATAGTAAATAAATATTTACTCAATAAAAAAAGATAATTAAATTAAAGGTTTTTGTATCAAATAAGTTCATATTTTTTCATTTAGTAAATAATCACTTAGAATCGTTCAAACAAATATTTATTAAAATTTAGTATTTTTTCAATGTACATGGACCTGCCAATTCCATAAGATTTACTAGAATACTAGCACACATCACTTCACATTTTTCTCTGTGTAACGTCTAAAAAATCCATGTAATCCAGTTTATAAAACTGAATTTTTGACATTATTGGTTCACTGGCGTGACCGCATTCATTGAAACAAATTGTTCGTTTATTCGCGTTCGTTAATTCGGTCGACTTTGAACGTCGCCTTTTAAACATGCATGCCATTTTGAAATTTTTCGCGGCTCAGTCAGCACACGTGGCTTTTTTATCTTTCTGTAATAACGAGTTTTTCCCGGCCACATACGTCGTTCGTCGTCCGCTTCGTCCGAGCGTCGCTCGGGTTAATGAAATCCATTTTCTCTCTCTCGCCATCACGGGTTTATCCGTAAAAAGCTGCGGATAACGGTGGGAGGAGGGGAGGCAAATGGGGAAGAAGGGCTCTTGCCACGTACGTAGACAAAGCAGAAGCTACATACGGCGGATTACGTGTCGCCCAAGGCTCGCGTCCATTAAATCCGGCAGGAGACGAGGGAACACACCCGGGTGAGAGAACTCGACGGCAATTTTCTCCTCACCTTGCGTAACAATGCTGACAATGGGTGCCGTAGAACTCGGGCAGGAGACAGCCCGCCAGCGGCGGCTCGACTAACAGAATATCACCCGGATGTATCTCCGCGGTTGCGACGGCGTGTTTACCCGCCGTCGTGGTCTCACGGATTTCCAGGGCGCCGGATGACCAACGAAGCTCGGAATTAACGGCGCCATTTAACGGCGTGCCGTCGCCGCCACCACTATTGCCTGCGAAGACGCAGTACAGTGTTTTCTTAGGGTGAGTTTTGCCACGACCGAGTTAATGGAACGGCAGGTATCCCGCGAGATACGCGGATACCTGCTAAGATTCGCTCGATGGTTGTTTAAACTCTATTACACCCAGGGTATACATGATATTTTAAACACAGATTCTTTAATAAGCATGAAAACGCTCGTAAAATGAGATAGCGGGAACAGCGAGATCAAGGATTTTCGCATATACGTAGGATTTTTGATATATCAAAGGTATACAGGGTGTCTTAGACTTCGCATTAATAACAAATTCTTGAGATTATATCGAAATGAAAATCCTAATACCAAAATGTCGAGGATATAGTAGTTTTTAAATGAGAAGAGTTTAAAGTTAGTTAATTAAACTATCCAATCACGTGCTCGACTAGAAATCCTCTACTAAGACTCGGTTACACCAACATTACTTTAACTTTAAGCAAGGTTTAAAACACGCACTTTCTCTTTTTAAAGCCAAGATAGAGAGAGTTTTGAGTCTCGCTTAAAGTCAAAATAACGTTAATGCAATCGAGCCTAAAAGTCTGGATATGAGAACGTCATTTTTAATCGATCAGCAATGTTTTAATAATTTCTAAAAGAGAAATAAATAAGGAAAAGATAGAATAAAACGAGAAAGAGAAAGAAATAATAAGTATGTCTTTCTCTCTCACAGATTTTTGTTAAAAATTGTATCTTTATCATTTAAAAATTGTAGCCTCGATATTTTGGTATTAAAATTTTCGTTCCGAAGTGATCTCAGGAATTTGCTATTAAAGTATCACGCATAGTCTGGGACACTCTGTATGCTATATACATATATAAATACAATAAACGTTGTACCTACGTACATGTTTAGCTTCAGTGGATACATACGCGATACTCCGCGAACGGTATCGAAAATCCAGGAGGGAAAGCGCGGCTTCGCTTTTTCCCCTCTTTTTCGCCACGGATTTTTCGATGTGAAGACAAAACGAGAAAATAACCCTTCTCCAGTTCGCTCTTTCGCCTCTGAGCGTTCAGCAGTACCTCGCGCGCACACGCCATGTTAGTCCCTTTGCACTCTCTGGGCGCGTACACGCACGTACACGCGCGTTATCTCGAGGATGCTCGACGAGATAGGCGCGGAGCATAGCGCTCTTTGTCCCGCACCTCCACGTCGATTTCCATCAGCGGAATGAATCGGGTTGACGGCGCGAAAAGTTCTGGCCTCGCTCCGCCGTTCAGTTCATGAATGAACGGCCGGAGAAGGGCGAGGAGGGAGATCGGTACTACGGCCTACTACGAGCCGTAGTACGCACGCCGGCTGACACGGCAGTTCATCGCGACGAGGCACGTGTGCGATAAGAACGAGAGAGGAAAAGAGAGAAGCAGAAAAAGGAGAAGAAGATGAAGAAGTCGTGCGACTGCGCGACGATTTTGCCTCGGCCTTAATCTCGCGATCGCGAACTCTGAAATCGCTAATTCCGCATAAAAAACGATCTCCAAAAAGTCGTGTTGACGAGCTGGATCCTTTCCAGCTGGAGCATTTCCAGCGGAATAATTTCGTTCGGATGTATGAAACCGATTGGATGCGATTAAAAAAAAATCTGTAAAAATTGCTTATTTTCATAAATTGCTGTGATTTTTGTTTTAAATATTTATAAATAAATTTCCAAATGTATAAGTAATGTTTATCAACCCTCCGAAGCTGACGGTGGATCTATTGAACTCATTCAATTATATTCTTTATATTACATTTGCAAATTTGAATAATTGTCATTAAAATAAAATTAGTATTCACACATATTCATTTGAGTATGAGTTATGTCATTTTGGTTTTTAAAATTACCTAATTAGTCTTTTAGTTAACATAAATTAAATGGGTCTCACAGACTCAGCGTTAATAACTGCATTATAGATATTAATTAATAAGCATTAACGTTACAACTAAATAATTTTAATGTCCAATTTAAAGCTTCAGAAAAGTTTACATGTTTATGATTAAATTTGGAAAAGAATGTATTTTTAATAATTCAATAGCGATAGATAAGTAAATTATTGTTGGACGATCGATAGCGATAAATCAGAATTACATTCGATAATGTGTCTCTGATAATAAAGTTTAATGAAACGAGTCTTCGTTTTACTGTTAATTCGATTTGTACACGGCACGGAAGTTCCTCTACGATTTAAGACTCCCGCAAGAGATCTTTGGGTTAACGAGAACGTGTAAACAAGCCGCAATCCCGCGCGAAACGCCATTTCCGGTTATCTCGGCCGCGACGTTTGCGTGTGGCATGCTGCCCACTGGGGTGTTCTAATGAATGGAAGAAATTGCTACAGTCCGAAAGGGGGATATGTACACACGACGAACCGATTAATCACGGTCCGTCTGGAAGAGACGATATCCGCAATATCGTGTGAAGCTGCGGCTCGTACGTTTTAATCTTTGGCCGAGGTTACAACGTACAGATAAAAATTGAGGGTTTTTCAGTAAAAATTAATTAAGTTCAACAATAAAAAATAATCCATTAAAATTTCTATTTCTGAATTACCAAGTGTTTTGGTTTATTAATTTTGAGTTTAGACAATATCTCGTAACTTTGAAATTTATAATTCAAATCAAAAGAAATCAAATACGATGGAGATTGGATTTTGATGCCTGATAACATTTCTATGTAAATACACATTTTTAAATACACATCTTTACATATATTAATTTAGTTATTAAACCGATTACTGTCAAACTTAAAACGTAACCTAAGTCTTTAAACTTCACTACAGATTTTTATATCCGCATTTGAAAAATTTTTACACTTGTGAAAACTTCAACAACGAATTTTAATTATCATAGAAATCGTATTTTTCTTGTTGAATCAGATAATTACTATGCCTTTAAAGTTCAATTGCTTGTCGATGGAAAATTTACATAGAAATTATTAGACACCAAGATTCAGCATCGATCGTATTAGATATTTCTTTAGTTATTTGATTTTTATATTCGTTTTTACCAATGTAGATTAACTTTAATCTTTGTTCAACATATTCTTCATCTTTTTCTAATTCTAAGAATTAGGAAAAGATAAAAAGTAAGTTAAATTCAATTTATTTGAGTTTACCAATTTGGGAATCCCAAACTGCAATATTAAAAAAAAATCCCGTTTTGCTTTTATAACGAAAAAAATATTATATTCTCGAACAGAATTTCTCACCCATATTCATCACTGTTAAACTGAGATTAATCTATACATTGGTAGAAACTGGCATTATTCATATATCTATTTAATTCAATTTATTACTGTAATTTATGTTTGTTTGACGTTAATTTCGAGAAGACATTTGAGTATCATAAAAACATTACCATTATCCCGTTTTCCTATATATGTTCACGTCATTTGTATTCGCAAATATATTTCATTATTTCATGATATTACGGATATCACGGAATAATCACCGACGAGCGCGAGTTACATTTGCTCGAATTTCATCCCTGCGACTTCGAATTTTTTTTCCGCGTTTTTACAGTTAACGCAACGTCGCGTCCGTCGTCGAAAAAAATATGCGGAGGGAATAATATCCGCGGACGGGTACGGAACGCGTGTTAAAATTGCAGGATCCATTTACTAATTTACGATCCGGCAGGCCGATTACCGCAAAGAACGTACGGTGTACGATGAATGGAAAAAATATTCATTCGCGCGCGCACAAAATTTCCACGTGGATACCATGAATTTATATTGACTTGTATTCATGAAGAATCTCTGGTTTGAAACCATAGAATGACTCAGTGTAAGTCAATTCTATCTCTTCATTATTTACAATACAAATTAATGAACTGTTCAATTGATAATCTCATTTATTCAATTAATTTGACGCTACCCAATTAGCATATTCAAAAATACATGTGCATGTCGGAATATTTATTAAATCTTTTATTAAATAATTTCGTTTTTTTTTTTGGAAAAAATATTGTTCTCTTCTTTTCGAATTTGTCTTGTTTTCACTCATTAAGAACGCATAAAAAGTTTAGGATTAAAGCCAAAGTTTTCGACTGCTTTTCTATTAGCGAGTTCTGAAAAATTAATACTCCAGACCGATGTTATCCTAGATGATAAAAAAGTCATGTCACGAATTGAGGATTAACCAAAAGTAGCCAGCGCTGCGATAAAGAGGGTGTGAGTTGTAATGATTGAGTCATAAATAACAAATTAATTTCTTTTTGAAAGGAAGGGAGCTTAATTATTGGTGGAAAATAAATTACTATTCAGTTCAAAGAAAGTATTTTTTTTTTTAGAGAAAATAAATGTGTATCACTTTAAATCCGTAGCAATGAAAATTTTATTGCTAACAAAAGTAAGTAGCAAAGCATTGCTTATGGATTTCCACTGCTTTGAAGTTAATCTATCTATTCTTACATAAAGAAGTGGACTATTTCATTCGATTAATTGAAGTGATTTAAGCATTAGTTGATAATGCATTGCAAGATAATATTACTGCAAGGAGTGCATTTAGCGACATAGCGCACCATCGTCTGTCGCATGTTTATCGTTTGTCAAAATTATATACATTTATATCATTATATTATTAAACCATTATTTTACTATTAGATAGATCAAATTTATAATGTATATAATTTTTACAAAAATTTATATTTAAAAATAAGATTAATAAATTAATAGATTGATAGCATACTCTGTTAAAAATCTGTCTCCGTAGGCTTTGTTATCTGGATTTGGAATGACATTATTCTGTCATTATTCTAATCTCCAAATTCATTCCTTTTTGGAGTAAATTTTTCACTCCAATTATCGAATGAATTTTCCATTTCCATCTTGCAGTAAAATTTACTGGCAGTAATTTATTGGCACAATTGCCACTAATGCTTGTATTGAAATTTTAATTTAATGCAGTGAAATTTCATCGCTACAGATTTAAAGTGATCAAATTTATTCTTATCAATAATTCTAATCAATAAAATTTGTCCCGACGTCGAAAGTTAT